AAAATTATATATAATTTTATTAATTATTAGTTTTATTATTATATGGATATGTAATTTGTTGAAGAAATTTTGTCAGAAGAAAATGGATCAAATGTGTTGCTTTGTTTTCATTCCTCACCAAAATCCTCTGACCGAATGAACAGTCTGGATTTTGCTCCAGCTGCTGGTAATTGTTTGGCTTTATTTCTTTCAATGAAGCATTCAAGTCCAATTCTGGATTTGTTTGCTACTTCTCAACTTGACCTGAAGAAAAACAAYGTTATCTTTCAMAATCAGCCAGGATTACAGCAAAATCCAGCTTAATCCCTGATCCTAGTTTGGTGAATTTTTACTGATCTGTCATGATGAGAAAATTCAATGATCAAAATTCAGAGATTCAAAGATTCAATGATCAGAGCTTCGGGCATAAAATACCATAAAACACCTTAAAAAAAGACACAAATTAAACGAAGTACTGCTTTTGAACCCTTTAAAGTAAATTCACAAGCTTGGTCTCTTTTTCAAGCTATCAATCTGAACTTCCAAACAGCAGTCATATTCTTTGTAACTGTAACTAGTATTTAGTATATTGAAGTAAAATACACAAAAACCAAGATATTTTTTCTCCCTAAATATTTAATTTTTTATTAATAAATTATCACAGAATATGAAGGGAATGAGATGTTATCAAACAAATTTTACTGGGCTAAAATGTTACATCTCAACTATTACCAGTTCAAATTTGGTAACAGTAGCATAAAATATGAATATTTGAGACAAAGTACAATCCAGCATGTCTCATTTGCATATTTGTACACTTGGACAATATGTACAGACTGTACATTTTGTCTAAAACACTGTAATTTCTAATTGCTTCAACAAAGGGACTTCACTCTGGGCTCAAATTAAAGATAAAACCCCCAAGAAACACATTCTACCATCCATATTTACTCACAGCATGATTAAATTAAATATATATATTAATGATCATAAATATTTACACCAACACTGTACAKTCAGCCAAATTTCCACCAATACACAGACAAACTGCAAAAATAAACAAATATATCCTTATTTCTTTCAGAGCATTAACATTCCACAAAGCTACTAAAACCAGCAGCAGCGAAAAATTATTTGTTTTTCACTCACATTTGATGAATATTTGTCCTCAAATATGATGAAATTAGCGATTCAAAATGGCGACCAGAAGTCTTTTTATCCATACTTTTAAACTTCTCCTGGCCACAAAAATCACTCTTCCATGTCTTGAAGCACTCGAAACACATAATAACAAAAATATTTTCATCTTATCAGCATGTTTTGTCAGCTAACTTTCCAAAAACGATGGAAAAAAAMCGTTTTCCTGTGAGTGTTAGTTTCATTCGTTAGCATGAAGGACTGTGTAAATATGGCGACCTCATGCGTGTTTACAATCTCTGTCACTGAACAAAGCTCCCACCCCCTCAATATATACACCAAATGAAAGGTACGGTGATTGACTAAACAGCTGTGGCATCAGAACAAAGCTCAGAGCTGACTAGCCAATTTTACAGTCAATCAAATCCAGGAGACGGAAACCGAAAGTAGGTAACTTCTCATATATTATTGCACCTGGACAGCCGATACTTGAACCCAGTTGGTCAAATGAGGTGTCAATTGTAAGAAGAGGGCCTAGACGTCACGTTTGATGCATTGCACACAAACACAGGAACACAGAACGGAGATTACAAAACAAAACGAACCAAAAACGGCACGCGGGCRTTCCGCTGAATGTTAACAGGATTTATTAAACCAAGAAAAGTTCTTTAAAGCTTCAAAAAAGCAGCAAAAGGTTTTAGTTCTAAAAAGGTTTTTAGATGTTTGGAAAGAGAAAACTCAAAACAGACGTGTTCAAGTTGAACTTTTGAAATGAAGGAAACATTTCTAAATGAATCAGTTGTGAAGGATCAGTGAATGATTTTAGTTGGACAAACATAGAAAACCTCCAACAGCTGCAGTGAACTGACCTCAGAACCTCCAGTCTACAGTTTGGACTCTCCAGGAAACCACACAGACCCTTCACTCCAGAGTCACACAGGGTGTTGTAACTCAGGTCCAGTTCAGTCAGATGGGAGGGGTTGGACTTCAGAGCTGAGCCCAGAGAGGAACAGCTGATCTCTGACAAACTGCAGGTGTTCAACCTGAATAAAGAATAAAAGCTATGAGCTGAAGGTTCAAACAGAAATCTGAACTAAATGATTGAAGTGGACAGAATTAGTTTTACTAGATGTCAGAGACACAAAAAGTTTTTTAGTTGGAAAAACATAGAAAACCTCCAACAGCTGCAGTGAACTGACCTCAGAACCTCCAGTCTACAGTTTGGAC